GGGTTCATTTTTTATATCCATCGAACCATGGTAAATCAGGTAAGTCTGAAAATCAAATATTTTATTATAATAATATGTATGCTACATATTAGAAAGATTCAATCCAATTGTGCTGTTAATCAGAATTCCTGTACATTAAGACGATCATATTTGAGATAAATGAGGATAGAACGATGTCATTTGTAACAAATTTATAATGTTGTAAACCTTGAATGGTCAAACAAATCATTGTAAGGAAGAATAAAAAAAATCAAGTTTATATATGCATCCATGCGATCGTAATTCTCTCAATGTATTTCAGATCAATATATTGTTAAGAAATTGTTAACTATTATTTTAAATCGACATATGTTTCATACTGATGATGATCGGATGATGATCGAAACGTCTGTGAGATCAATTGTTAACAAATTCGAATCGATATTTCGCAATAGACAACGTATGGCTTTAATGCCCTTTGTTTATTATTGTTTATATTATTTTGTAGCTTAACGTGTAAATAGTAGTCTTTTTTTTTCTAATATTATAGATAATACTACAAAATGTTTATTACTAATAAATTAGTATGTTGTGAAATCGAATCTTAAAGTCATAGAAGTTAATATAGTTTTATTGATTTTCCTTTTGAAAGCATAAATCAATATAGATGTGCTCACCGCTCATTAAGTTCATTTAGGACAAACTTATCCAATGAAGCTCGAGCACACTCAATTTGTAGTCTAATTTGTGTTCTCAAAAGAGAAACACTCCTTAAGAGAAGGATTTGTTTCAGCTTCTTCAAATGCATAAATCTAGTAAGTAAATTTGGACAAACTTCTAGCAAGTTTTAATAAATTAATATAAATTTTAATAAATATAAGCATTTGGAAATACTATTGAAAGTCCTTATTGTAATTTACTTCTATTTTTATTTAGCAATATCACAGAAACAGCAGTACACAGATTGTAATTGTAAATTTTAAAGGTATAGGTAATAGATTCATTTTTTTCCTAATAAGTTTTTGATGCTGTGATATAAACTGATATATATTGATATAAACTGACTGGGATTGTGAACACAGGGATTAACCAACCTTGCATCAACCAGACAAGCGATGTTCATCGTGTCGCTCCTGATGACGATCCATTGGCTTCACTTTCCTAGGGCTGATAGATGAGATGCCAGGAATTTTTATCGTTTACTTTGTGTTGCTTTTTTACAGAAATTTAAATAAAGTTACAAATAGGAGATACATATATGGCACTGTTAATGATATGAGATAATTATTTTTCATATTTTTCGTATCGTTGATCTGTTTCGAAGTAGAATTTACTGCACAACAAACAAAAGTGAATACCGACACATTTCGATTTCAAGCTAAAAAACACCGACCTTGGACAGCTCTGATCTAAAGTCTGCAGATATACATCTAGTGAATGATCACCGAATGAGCAAGGAATGCAAAAGTTTGTATTGTTACTTGTGACGTAAGTTTAATTGTTATAACGAACATCGAATCTGACATCAAATGCTATGATTTGTTTGCGTTGCATACTCCTATCATAGCTCCTATCATAACTCACTCCAATGCGCTCTCGTAGGAGCATAAATCGGTGTAATCAAGAAAAAGAATAAATTGCTTACAAACGCAAATTTAACACGAATGTCCGTGAACATGTTCGTGTTCGGTATTCGTTCGTTAGGCGTATACATGGCTTAAACAGTCTCATGTATGACTTTGCATATGAAGTGATTGTATAAACAGTACTCTCATAGAATAGAAATAACAAATATATATAACACTATTATATTTATTCATGTTAATATAGAGAGGAGGCCACCATTATTTCTTGCAAGTTCAGCCACTTTCACTAATGAATGCCACTCCTGGAATGAGTGAAGTTAAAAATGTTCGTTAATGACGTACTTTTGGTTTACTTTCTATATAATATTCTAATTTGACTTTTCTCATTAACCTCATGTGTTTTTTTGTTTTAGATATTCCTTGGAGATAGAGTTTTATGCTCCAAAGTAACGTACATTAGTACATGTGGAAGATAGTCACGCTGATTGTAGGATACATGCTCTTCTCAAAGGGGTCTTTGATGAGAAAGCACATCTCATAAGAGTACGAGTTAACAGTAATGCTGAGAATGAGAGATTTCTACCGAAACTTCCTCCTGGCAAAGTGTGAATAATTGTTTTTAATAATTTGAATTTTTTAAAATCAATAATAAGCAATAATTTTAGATTGCATTGAAAGCGTAATTTCTTCTTTTTACAGCTCTGCATCGTGATTGGCTAACGAAACAAAAAATTCGGGATACAAATGGACAGCTGGATTAAAAATATTCATCCACAGAAGTGAAGAAGTATTACGTGAATGTGCTCCTTGCTTATCTTGCGGATAGGGCATATAATATGCAGAACTCTCGGAATACAAAGAAAGGAAGTGAAAACCTCACTAAAACCCCTAAATACAGGCGAAGCGGATCCACGGAATCAAAATGCAAATATATATATAAAAAAAGGTTAATCGCTGTTTGAGATACTGCAACTTCCGCAACAACTATCTCATCCGCAGCAACTACCATGTCCGCGGCAACAACTACCACATTCGCAACAATTCGATATTCAACAGCCATTCTCACCTCAACAATCATTACCGCAACAACAGTCATTTCAACAATCACTACATCAAGAACCCCAGTAACCATTACAAGAACAAATACTTAATTATGTTACCAATTTTTTTCTGCTGCCAACAGTAACAGTGGCAGTGATATCAGGAAATGTTACGTACTATTAAATATGAATACAATTTTATAGAATATTTTATCTCAACATTTTCTTTTGTTTTCAGAACTTCAGAGGCAGTCACATTCATCAATCTTTGATATATCATATATATATTGGGTTATCAAAAAAGTATCCGCGGTTTTTTGTCACTAGATGTGTGTTGATAAAAAAATAATATAATAAAATTATGTGTGTGTGTATATATATATATATATATATATATATACATATATAATTTGGCATAGTATAAAAAAATGAAATTTAATTTGGCGTGAGTTTTACCTATGTGAATCCAACTTTAAGAAAACTCTAAGAGAAAAAATTTTTTTGATACGCATTAAATTAAGCTCGGTTTGTATCTATTTAAACCACTTTTTATTTCATTTGCATCAAGGGGTAAAAGATTATAAAAGATTGAAAAAGATGTAAACTGCTGTTTCGAGATGATTTGTACCCGTTTGTATCACCTGTTCTTTTTGTTTGTATCCTTAAGGAGGTGATTGTACCGAATTTTTATCAAAATAGGGCTAACTTCGCCATTCTTTATGATATTTTAAATCTTTTATAGGAATGATGACACACATTAAAGTCAATATTATTGATTTAATTTGTCATCCGAATTACATTTAGAATTTAACTTGACGTCAATTGTTAATATTAAATCTTTTTTTACTATCGATATATAAAATTTTGAGGAATTTAATTTGGCGTCAATTTTGTTGATATATATATCAAATTTATATGTAATATTTTCAATTTTATATGTAATATTTGTATCTTTTAATGATATATATGATTAAGTAAATAATAAGAAATCTTACCAATTGTGTTTTACTTTCTAATTAATAGAATGTAAACTTGATTAGTTGAAATTGTAGCATCTGGGTTTTAATTTTTCATTTGATGCATTATTTTTTTCGAAGAGTAATAATTTTTGACAGATAATTTTAGAATTAAAGTTGTCATTACTTGGATTGGAATAAGAAAACCTTCAATAAGAACATTCTTGAAGAAAAATTAGAACTACTATTAATTGGGTTGGATATTTAAAAGGAAGGGGGGAGGGGGAAACAACAATTCCTCCTTCCATGGAGTACGCCACCTCTTGCAGCTCCGAGTTTCTCTCCCGCCGGAGGCAAGGAGCATACGGGCGCAGTCACTAATGATTAAACATGAACGCAGGTCGCCTCCAGGACGGCCAAGAGAGTTGCGGCTAAGGCCTGCAGGCTGGGAGGAGCATGCCCCCCTCGAAAAGGCGAAACAGGCAGATGCCACCCCAGTCTAGAAAGGCGTCTAACCCTGGAGTGCCCTCGGCAGTCCTAGGGCCCCCGGTGCGCAGCTTCCGCGAAGGACAATCGCTGCCATTACGTTACTTGCGCGGATCCATAAAGTTATACAGTGATGATCGAGCAAGTTAGGGCCAAGATCAATCTGAGGGATCTCAACATCGAGGCCCTCAGGTCAAAAAGGGGAATTGGTGTGGGAGGTCCATGGCCATGATAACAAGGCCAAGGCCTCCTCGCCGGAAAACTACGCGAAGTGTTTGTGGCGCGAGATGACAGAAGGATCTCGCGTCCAATTAAAACGGTATAGGGCCTTGATGACTTCGTCACCTTCAAGGAAGTGATGAATTCGCCAAGGCCAGGGAGTGCTCCTCCGCTGACTTTAAAGTGAGGGAGATGATCGGCTTGTGTTGAATCCGTTGCCCGGCAGTGGCGCGCAAGAAGTGATTGCTGGTCACCCCGAGGGTCAGAATGGGATGGTTCAACTGTCGGCTTGCGCTGCTTTCCTAGAGGGGCCTGCTGTGTTATCGGTACCGGAAACGGGTCACGTGCAGCAGAATTGTAAAAGCATGGTGGACCTTTCCGTGCTGCTACCGCTGCAGCGGAATTAGGCATCGGACCCGGGAATATAACGCCAAGGTGGAAAACACTGCCCAGCGTGCAAAATACTTAGGCGTCTGGCCGGACATAGGATCGGCAGCAGTGACTACTCGGCGTCTAAGAAGCAGAAGGAAAAGGAGGATCCAGGTCCAGTGGATAACCAGATATAAACTTATTTAATGGGTATAAAGAGTCTGATTAACAATTAAAAATAGTGAAAGAATAATATATAATATACAGTGATATATAATATAAAATAATAAAATACAACATAATATATAATATACAGTGATAATTTAATTACAGTGATAATTTAATATACAGTAATAATTTAATTCAGTGTGATATATTTTGAAACATGGATACACGCACAATCCAACATCACATTCTTGGCATTGATAACGAGATTCTCGTCTCTTATTGTTTTTCGTACATACAACCTTCGCGATCTTTTTCCTTTCACAAAGAGAAGGAAAATGTCTTCCATTGAGTCTTAATGAGTGATTATTTCCGGGTCTAATAGGATGATGGCTTGCTTTTTCCTGATATTTCTTCAAAATTTGATCGATTAATTTCAGTTGAAATTTTGCAATTGATATTGTTTTACCGGTTTTCAATTTGTTTTTTTTTATAGGCAATATGAGTTCTATAAACACATGTCAATCATATGAAAGAAATATTTTTTGTACCACTTCGTTGTTTTTCAGGTAGAATTTATAATGCTGATGACCATGTCGGTCCTATTTACAGCACCCATAAATTTATTATAGTCATGTACACAAGATGGTTTCTGTACAATTTCTTGTGCACTGTAGTATTTTCGAACATTCACAAATTCTTCCTTATGTATTGTAGAAATCATAAAAACCTCTTTTTTATTCTGCCATTTTATGGCTAACATATTTGCGGCCGAGCGAAAGCACGCTTCACCTTTTGTTAATTTTTTGTTCATTTTCGGCATATTCCTTTTCTCCTCTTTTTTATAGTGCCACACGTATTTGTACAATTTTTGTGCAATACATCAAATAATGCTGAGCTCGTGTACCAATTATCGACGTAAAGGGTGTGGCCTTTAGCTAGATATGGTTCTAGGAGAGACATTACAATACTTTCTGATTTACCATAGTCCTTATGTTCGGTCCCTATAGTGATACCAGCCCCCGTATAAACAATAAAGTCTTGAATATAACCCGTCTTGTAGTCACAAAGAACAAACGATTTTATCTCGAATCTATTCCTCTTCGATGGAATAAACTGCTTGAAAGACAGTCTGTCTTTTGTATAGAAGCAGATGTTAGTGTAAAGGACCTTGATGTCCTTGTTGCGCTATGTGCAGCGCTATTTTCTCATCAGAGAATTTCGTGCCTTGTGGCCTGTCGATCTGCGTCGCTTGCCTTGTGGCCACACCCGAAGTAATTCGGCAGTGCGTAATAAAAGAAGCAATTACCTTATGTGAAAATGCTTTAATGTCTCTTGTATTTTACACTCGCGTCGTACATTATAAGGATAAAAAGGAGAAAGGTTTGGACACCAGTCTGCACGTGCTCGCGGTATGAAAGTCGCACACAGAAGCTTCGAGAAAACCCTGAGAAGCGCGGCGGTTTACACGCAGGCAGCATAGTCGCGCGCATGCCCTCCCCATCCACCACCTTCGGTGGGCCCCATCAGCGACACGACACGTCGCTAACACACCGCGATCACGCCGCAGTCAACGGGCTGGTATCAAGCCTGATGAACCACACATACACACACACACACTGATAAGCGCCATACCGCCGCCCTTGAAAGAATCGCCTTTTAATAAATACAAAATGAATACGTTTGATCCACAAAATATAATAACATCATGTTGTCAACGATGAAAATAATAATGCTAAGACATGAACATGGACATCAAGAGATAGAAAACGTCAAATTTCCAATGTCATAACCAGACCCTAGTTCTCAATTGGAAGTAGACAGAGACGAGTAATCGGTCGCTTGTAACTGCCGTCAAAAGTACGCACTGTTACAACGCGTGCTATGGTATCCTTGTCTGGATGTATGTCTTGAATTCTTCTCAGAGGCTATGATAGTGGAGGAGTGTTATCTTCCTTGATGATATCCATTTGGCCGATATGTATGGACGGTTCGTTTATCTGCCACTTGTTACGCTCCTGGCATTGGTGAAGGTACTCGCGGGTTCATCGTTTCCAAAAATGTTGCCGCAAATGCCGTATGTACTGCCAATGGGAAAGACGGTTTACAGGTACCTCGTCCAGGGATGGCTCTGAATAAGCTGTGAGAGGTGTATCCACTAAAAAGTGTCCGAGAGTTAGAGAGGTGAAGTCATTAGGGTCCTCGGAAAGAGGAGTGAGAAGACGCGAGTTCAATATCGCTTCAATCTGGATGAGCAATGTTTCCAGCTCCTCGCGTTTCAAATTGGAATTCTTTGTAATGCGAACTAAATGTCGTTTGGTCGCCTTCACGGCGGCTTCCCATAAACCCCCATGGTGGGATAAAGTGCCATTGCACTCCTAGAGTTCGGGTTTGATCCTGGATATGTTGTTGAGTTGACTCATTATGCAGCAGATCCCTTAACTCACTCAATTCGCGTTCGGCGCCGATGAAGTTCAGTCCATTGTCAGAAAAGATGTCTGAAGGGAGATCTCTTCTTGCCACGAATCGCCTGAAGACGTTTAGAAATGCTTCTGACGACAAGTTAGACGCCAACTCAATATGAATCGCCTTGATGACCAAACAAATAAAAATTGCGATATAACATTTTATTAGCTTAGTGCACCTTCCTTATAATAGAGGGGGCCACTCCACATTGATCAAATATCTTCGAAGATATTTTAATCCGCGGTCCCGGCAAGTTTCCCATAATAGCGGAAGCGAGTTTTGGTGAACTCTTGAAACAGACGATACATCTCCCGAGAATCCGTCGAATGATGCTACGCGCCGAAGTGAGCCAGTAATGCTCACGTACCGCGACCAGAGTAGCTTGTGGTCCGGCATGAAAGTGCCTTTCATGCTCGTGTATCACAATTAAGCGGGAAAATGGATGATTTCCAGGCAACAGCATGGGATGCTTGGAGGCATAAGGCAAGGAGGATTCTCTCCGACCACCGACACGTAAGATGCCGGAATCGTCAAGAAATGGATTTAATCTTAAGATGGGACTGCTTGTAGGAACAGCCTTGGGGTTGCTAAGTGCCTTCACTTCACTTGGAAAATGTCTTGTTTGTATTATTTTGATTAAACGATAAATTGCTTGTTGCTGCTCATTGAAAGATATAGATGGAATGTCCTTGTTCTGCAAAGATGAGATCCCCTGAGAATGGTCGGATAAATCCCTTGAACTTTTGAAACCTTTTGTAAAACGAATCATGTACGCAAAGACTCGAATGAGCCTGGTAAAGTTTATCGATATGAATATGTCAGATTCTTGTACACCAGCGCTGCAATAATAGCCTTGAGCTTTCGCTTAGGGACGCTGGCCACGTCTGCAAGTATAGCTTCTTGAGGTCAGCTTTCTCTATCACGTCCCAACCAGGAAGGCCCCGACTATCAGATTGCCAATTGTGCCAGGGAACCTGGCATTACACCGCGGGACAATGGGTCCGCGGGATTGTCCTGACTCGGAACGTGATTCCATTGCTGAATCGATGTTAATTCCTGTATCTCACCAATCCTGTATCTCAGTGCGATTTGCCACGAAGGTTAACCAAGAACGACTGCACGATTGCAACCATGGTAATACAATTCATGATAATATTGGGTCATCTAAAAAGTATCCGCGGTTTTTTGTCACTAGATGGTGTTGATGGTCATATATCGGGCAATACTAATCCGATTGTGTCAAACGAACGCGCGTCTGAAAGATGACATTTTAGATTACATTTTTTGTACACAAAGTTTGGTGATTCATCAATCGTATCAAAAGTTATATTGGTTTGAAAATGAGTGAAATATCTGAAGAAATACGCTATGTGATGCTTTTTTACTACAAAAAAGACAAAAACGCAGCACAAACATGCAGACAAATTTGTGAAGTTTGCGGCGCGGATGCTGTAAGTGAACACAGGACGCAGGAGTGGTTTGTTCGATTTCGTTCTGAAAATTTTGATGTCAAAGATCGACCTCGCTCTGGTCGGCCAGTCACTGAAAAAGTCGATGAAATTTTGCAACTGGTCAAGCAAGACCGGCATGTGAGCTGTCAGGAGATAGCCAATGCACTAAGAATCAACCATATGACAGTTTAGAATCATTTGAAAAAGGCTGGCTACGCAAAGAAACTCGATGTTTGGGTGCCATGAATTAACGCAAAGAAATTTGATTGATCGAATTTCCATTAGCGAAACACTACTAAAACGCAACGAAATCGACTCATTTCTGAAGCAAATCATCACAGAATGATGAAAAATGGGTGAAATAAGAGAATATTGTTCGTAAAAGATCATGGAATAAGCGCGGCGAATCATCACAAACGACTTCAAAGCCTGGATTAATGGCAAATAAGGCTGTGTGTATGGAAGGATTGGAAGGGAGTCGTCCATCATGAGGTGTTACCACATGGCCTAACGATTAATTCAGAGCTCTACTGTTCACAACTGGATAGATTACAGGAAGCGATTAAGGAAAAACGACCAGAATTGATTAACAGAAAAGGTGTTGTCTTCCATCATGACAACGCCAGACCACACACATCTTTGATGACGCGTCAAAAATTGAGGGAGCTTGGTTGGGAAGTTTTGATGCATCCACCGTATAGCCCGGACTTTGCACCGTCTGACTATCATTTGTTTCGATCTCTGCAGAACTCTCTTGATGGAAAAACATTGGCCGACAAAAGAGCTGCCGAAAATCACTTGAAAAAGTTTTTCGCCGATAAACCACAAAAGTTCTACACGGATGGAATTATGAAATTATCCGAGCAAAAGGTTATACATTGCTGAATCGATGTTAATTCCTGTATCTCAACAATGCGATTTGCCACAAAGGTTGACCAGGCTCGACTGCACGATTGCAACCATAATAGTACAATTGTAGAATCCGTCCATAAATGAATGGATGCTATTGGACAGATGAGACATTTTGAGATCTTGTTGATAAGACAAGCCAGTAGCAATGCACCACATAACTCGAGGCGCGGAAGCGCTCTCTTCAATGGTACCACTCTGGAGCAAAGTAGGAGTGTGCGATAAGTACTGTTGATTGAAGTAGAGTGTAAATAAATGCATGCTCTGTATGCAATTTCGCTAGCGTCTGAGAACCCATGTAGCTCCAAACTGATATATTGTTCTGTGGTTGTGACAAAACGAGGAATGCGTATGCCATGCAGTTCCTGTAACTCCGTTTCGAAGCGTCCCCATTTGGTATGTAACTCCAAGGGAATCGATTCATCCCAATCAAGCTTGAATCGCCAGAGGTCCTGCATGATGGATTTGGCAAGTAATGTAACTGGATCTAGCCCTAATGGGTCAAAAATGAGAGATATGCGTCATAAAATACTTCGTTTAGGCGTCTCCAGAGGAGGCAGATGATTGATGGACGAATACTTGAATACGTCAGCTTGGCAATCCCATGCAATGCCTAAAGCCTTTTTCTCGGAGTTCTTGTTTGAGGATAAGGTGAATTTTCTTGGCTCTTTGGCTCGCTGGAATTCCGATCCTGGAGGCCAGGAGCATTGGATGCCCATTTTCTAAGCTCATTTGCTCGAATTTCTCGTCCTGGAGCAATGCCGTGATCTCCTTCTTGATAGAGAGAGCTTCATCTATTGAGTCGGCTCCCGTGACGAGATCATCCATATAGAAGTCTCTCAATGCTATTTGCGACGCTCTCGGATAGCAATCCACACTGTCCTCCGCTAACTTTCTCAGGGCTCTGATAGTCAAGAACGATACTGATGACGTGCCATAAGTGACAGTGAGTAATTCGAAAGTCTTGATGAGTTCATCTGGCGACCCTCGCCAGAAAATACGCTGCAATGGTGTTTGAGTTGAATCGACCAGAACTTGTCGATACATCTTTGCTATATCGGCGAGAGCGATTTTGAATGTTCGGAATCTGGCTAAAATGGAGAAAAGATCCTCTTGTAGCGTGAGTCCCCACTCTCAATACGTCGTTTAAAAATAATCCGGTTGTGGTTTTGCATGACCCGTCAAATACCACTTGGAACTTGGAGCTCGTTTCATTTTGTATAGCATGATGTGGAAGATAAAAAACTGGAGAGGTATGGCTTAGCATCTACTGACGTGCTACTGGTCACCTCCTTCATGTGATTCAAGCGCATGTACTCATCCATGAATCTCTTATTCGTCGTACATGCGGGATTGAGCGATGAGCCGCTATTGAATATGATGCGCCTAATGCGTTCTTATGAATAAATAAAAAAAAACCTACCTCCCTTTCCTACCTCGCAATGTAGGTGGATAAGACTTATGAATACTTGTCGTATGTGACTTATACGCTTGCACGTGGTCTCAGAATAAAAAATGTAATATGTATGCGATACCTGTATCCGGGTCGAAGGACCAATGTTAATGTAAAGGATTGATGTCCTTATTGCGCTATGTGCAGCACTATTTTCTCATCGTCAGAGAATTTTGTATCTCGTGCCTTGTGGCCTGTCGATCTGCATCTTGTGGCCACACCCAAAGTAATTCGGCAGTGCATAATAAAAGAAGCAATTACCTTATGTGAAAATGCTTTAGTGTCTCTCGTGTTTTACACTCGCGTCGTACATTATAAGATAAAAAGATTATTAGATAACATTATTAGATAAAAAGGAGAAAGGTTTGGGCACCAGTTTGCACGTGCTCGCGGTATGAAAGTCGCACACAGAAGCTTCGAGAAAACCCTGAGAAGCGCGGCGGTTTACACGCAGGTAGCATAGTCGCGCGCATAGTGCCCTCCCCTTCGGTGGGCCCCATTAGCGACACGGCACGTCGTTAACACGCCGCGATCACACCGCAAAGCCAACGGGCTGGTATCAAGCCCGCTGAGTCACACACACACTGATAAACGCCAACAGCAGACTTTCATCTATACACAGGTTACGGTAAGGGTAAAAGAATTTATAAAATGCTCCTCGTAACTCATCAATTATTTTGCGGATTTTATGTAAACGATTGGAACTGATACATGATCGTCACTAAAATGCAGCATTTGCAGAAGTAATAAGTACCGGTCTCTGCTGATTACCTCACCAAAAATATCGCTTCTCAATAATTTATCTCTCTCTCCAGTGTTCTGCTAACGATAGCCTTTTGTTTCTGGTCAAAAAAGAGATAGCGATGAAGCAATATAATTTTATTTAGCTGTGTACCAGCTATTATTTCATTGTTGTTGTTCTTCTGTCGCCAATAGCTGTTTGTTTTTTCAGCAATGTATTCTATTAATTTTCGCTGACAAATAATTAATCTATAATTTTCCACGAGTATCTTATCCCTGATTGAATTCCTGAATTCCGTGCGTTAAAATAGTGAATTTTGGGTTTGAATTTTACCGTTGTCCATATAATATTTGATAAGGCCGTACTTTCCATGTAATTATCTTCAATTTCCTCAGACTCTGAGGTATTTAGTACATCACTCGTCTTTTTTTGCGAGGTATTATTTCTGTACTTGATTCGCTTTCATTGCAGCTCCAGATTAATTTCTAATTTATCGAATGTGCTCACCAGTTGCAATTCTCTTGATACCATTTTGAGAAGAGCAAACCCTGAATTCTTTATTGAAATGAAAATAAATTATAATACTTGTAAGAAATGAGGATACTTTTGGACAGCAGGCGGACGTATCAATACAAAGCTCCTCTGAAATTCTTTTTCCTAAAGCTCTATCCTCAATTTTCTATTCCTTTATGACACTTAACAGTAATGAAAAAAATGGAGGTAGAACAAATATGATTCGAATTGTGTGATTTATTCCTTTTGTCAAAAAATTTATGCGACGATCACAAGAGGTGTTATCCAAAAAATAGGTCGCGATTGTTGCCAGTTTTAGTCAGCGCACGTCGCTGTGGATCACATCGTACATGCCGGATATATCCGGCGTTCGGTTCCGCGGGTTATCATGTGGATGCCGGATATATATGGAGCGAAAGGGTTAAAAAGGTATGTAAGTTTGTACTGATAGAATTTAACTTGATTAAAATTGTAACATCTAGGTTTTAATTTTTCATTTGACGCATTATTTTTTTCCGAAGAGTAATATTTTTGACAGAGAATTAAAGTTGCCATTACTTGGGTTGAATACTTAATTTTATTCAAAAAACAAGTATGCGCCGTAAGTTTAGCGCCTTTTTTACCTTTTTTAAAAAGATAAATTTATACTGTATAATTCATACATGAATCTCATCAGTAATCTTTAAAGACCTTAGGAATCTATAATGAATCGTACATGACGATTTATATTGCAATGAAAAGATCTTAGTCTTATAAGAAGCTTTTAAAAATAATTTCTTTACAGAATTATCCTAGAATATAGTATTAATTATATACAATTCCTAAGTGTTACATGCAAGTGTATCAGTCTTAAAAGACATATATTGGGTGAGTGTAAAAATGTCCGATTTATTATACAATGTTTAAATAGCTGCAATTTTGTTAAAAATAAACGAAATTTAAATTAAAAAAAGTTTTAAAGCTTGAAATCTCTACTTTCTGGTTACTATATTTTTGTAATGGTTACTTTTTTGAATCTATATGAGTTTTGTAATTTTTACATATAAAAAACTATGAGTTAAACAAAATGAAAAACGAAATTTTTATTCATTTTGTGGGCCTATCACATATTCAAAAAAATTTGCAAAAATTTTTAAATTTCTAATTTTCTAAAAAATTTAGTTTTTTTTCTATAAAATTGTTTCTAAAAAATTTCCCTAAGATTTTTTGTTATTGAGTTTGCAAATTATATAAAAAGAATATTTTGACTTTTGATTGCTCATAACTCCGTCAAAACCATCACAATTTAAAAAAACAGATTCTTAAATTCTCTCATCAGATAAAGTAAGATTTAGATTTTATTTTATTTTTTACAAAAATAGCAGCTGATTGAACAATAAATTTTAAACAATAAATTAGACACGAATTTTTGCACTTACCCAATAGTTACGAAATAATTTATTTTTCAAGTTAGTGCAGAAATCTATGTATTGTACATGATTTATATCGCAATGAAAAGATTTTGCTTTATAATTTAATAAGATACTTTTAAGAAATAATTTCTTTACACGATCGCTTCAAAGTAATGAAGGTATCGATCGTCTCAGTAAATGAAATGGAATTATTGAATAAACAGAAACTAAATTGGATATATAAAATGAAAAAGAAAAATTGAAAAATTTGTCAATGCTAAAAATGACTGAATAAAAGGCCGAAACGTATATTATCACTGTCTTAATGAATTGATAAATTATAATTTCGTTATAATTGGCGTAGGCTTTTTATGTCCTAAATTCCTTGTTTCCTGTCCTAAATTAAATTTGATTTAGTCGAAAAGCCGTTATACAATTTGTGTAGAAAGAATTAATTTTTAATCAAAATGAATTCTTTTAAATTCAGCGATCCTTGCTTGCCTCATTCCATTTTATTTACTGGAATACGAGCAATATATATCACACAAAATTCCAATAATATTCTTGTAATATTTTCATAATGACACTTCGTTATATTTTTGCAAGATTCACGTTACATGCGTGTAAGAGTTAATTAGTAACATGCTTATAAGATTTATGTAACATGCATGTAACATGAGTGTAAGATGCACGCAAGATTCTTGATTTACTTAGATATCATATGCGATATATTCTTATTCGATTTTGTATGTTCCTGTCCGAAATTTTGAAAATTGTATGAAAATTTTCTTGAAAGATCTCTCACAAGAATTTTTCTCGTAAGAATTTGCAGGGTCTATTTATAATGCCACACTTCCAACACACCAGAGGGGAATCCAATTAAAATATGCATAAATCCCTCCAGCAACAGCATCATAGTATAGCGAGATGAATAAACAAGCGATGGTGCTTTTAAATCCATGGCACTGCCTAGAATAAGGCTTAGAATAAGGCCCGCCCTTGTAGAAAAGTATTACTGAACATTAGAAGTATTTTGAGGCACTACTGTACTACAGCACGACTGTACTATCACACTACTGTTGTAGTGCAGAAGTGTTTAGTAATACTGAGTAATGCTAAGATCTTTTACATATTCACGTTTCAGCAAGATACAAATGCAGGAAACGAGCATACATTACAAAAACTAATTATTAATAACTCTATTTAAAAAAAAAAGCACTTTTAGAGATTCTACGATCACACTTTTAGCTAAGAATAAGTGACAGATTTCATTTACATATGCCTCTTTATAGGGATCCGCATCATTTTCTCCTAAACAAATCCATCTTACGGCAATACTGCGTACTATGCCACTTGAGAGTATATGTACGCTATAGGCATCGCCAAACAAACGGCGTAGTACGCAGTACCGTTGCAAGATGGACTTGTTTTCCGTAAGAAATAAAGTCACTAGATTAACAAAGTACCGCCATTTTCTATGACGCGCGATATTCAAAACTTCAGCTTCTTTCACTGTGATTTTTGCAATTTTTAACACAGCAACCGGGCATTTTTGATAATGATAGAATTCAGGTTCTTCTTCTTCTTCTTTCAGACCCCTGTAAGGATTTCCGACCTTTTAACGGAATTAGGTTAGGATAGCACATCGACGCCATTTTGACTCCAAATGGTAATTCAGTGAATTTTCTCATCGCGGTACTTTGTTAATCTAATGGTTTGAGTAAGGAGAAAATGGCGCGAATCCCTATAAAGAGGCGTAATTGAAATTCGTCATTTACTCTCAGCTCGATCAGATATTTTTTGTTGATAGTTTTTTGCATTTTGTATCTTGCCGAAACACGGATATAGAAGATCTTAGCACTCAGCATTATTAAACACTTCTGCACTACTACAGTAATGTACAGTCGTGCTGTAGTGCTGTAGTACAGTAGTGTCAAAATACTCCTAGTGTTCAGAAGTACTTTTCTACAAAGACGTAGAGCAGCAAGCGATAGAAAACATATTCAAATACAGAAATGATACAACACATGTCCAATAGATATTCACATGATGAGAGAAAAAAGGGGGGAAGGAGGAAGAGGAGAGAAAGAGAGAGAGAGAGAGAGAGAGAGAGAGAGAGAGAGAAAGAGAGATGGTAATTTACATTCTTTTTAAAATGTGACATAAACGTTTAAATATCAGAATTTAAATATTGTTAAGTGTGTATAAAAATAATTAATCACTGCAAGAAGTCTCAAATATATTAATTGAGATGCATAAAAATTATTGGGTGTGGAAAAAAATTCGTAACGTTTTTCCCACTAGATGGCATTAAATGCTCAGCAGTCGGTAACTACCAATCGCATCGACAACATTAGATGTGCGTTTAAAAAGTGACATTTCAAACTTCGTTTTGAACCGAAAAAGATTGAAATCGGTGAAGTGGATCAAAAGTTATTTTATTTTGAAAATGGTAATAAATAAGGAAAAAATTTGCTACATTTTACAGTATTACTACGATAAAGATAAGAACGCTGCACAGGCTTGTGAAAAAATTTGTGCTGTTTACGATGAAGATACTCTATCAAAATCAGCAGTACAAAAATGGTTCGCTCGTTTTTGTACAGGAAATTTCGATGTTTAATTAAAGATGAACCTCGCTCCGGTTGACCAATCACTGAAAAGTGCGATGAAATCATATCGAGCGTGATAAGCATGTAAGCACTGTGGAGATTGTCAGGGAACTAGGCATTAACCATAAAACAGTTTTAAATCATTTATACAAAGCTGGATACAAAAAGAAGCTCGATATTTGGGTTTCTCACGAGTCATGATAGACCGAATTAACATTTGCGATACGCTACTGAAACGAAATGAAATTGAGCCATTTCTGAAGAGAATGATAACTGGTGATGAAAAATGGATCACATACGACAATCGAACTCGCAAAAGAAATGGATAAAATAAGGAGAGAAGGCACAAGCAATCGCAAAACCTGGATTAACAACGAGGAAGGTGATGTGTGATTGTGAAGGTGATGTGGGATTAGAAGGGAATCGTTCATTATGAGTTATTATCGCCCGATCAAATAATTAATTTCGAACTCTATGAACAACTGGAGAGATTACTACAAGCAATTCAGAGGAAGCGGCCAGAATTTAATCAATAGGGATGTCGTCTTCCATCAAGACAACGCTCGACCACACACATCTTTGATAACTCTCGTAAAAATTGCGAGAGCTTGACTGGGAAGTCTTAATGCATCTAACGTATAGTCCTGACACGCACCCTCAGACTATTATTTGTTTAGGTTTCTGCAGAACTTTCTTAATGATATATATAAAGCTGGCTTCAAAAGAGGCCTGTGAAAATCACTTGAAGCAGTTTTTCGACCAGAAACCACAGAAGTTCTATCGCGATGAGATTATGGCTCTGCCCCAAAAATGGCAAAATATTAAGTGCAGTAAAAAGAAATCCATTATTTTTTCAATAAATGGCTTTAGTAATCTCTATCACGCGTAGACGAGATACTGATTACTAAAGCCATTTATTGGAAAAATAATGGATTTCTTTTTACTACACCTAATATTGAAAATAATGGAGCATATTTGGTTTAAATAAATTGATTTTAATAAACTCTTTAAATAACTCTAAGAAAAACACTTGAATTTTATTAAAAAACCGCTATAAACTTTTTCTTACACCCAATATTTGATGCAAACAATGTTATTGTAATAATTAAATATCGAAAAAATTCAAGTATATATTTTTTCCTTATATTATAATTTCATTTTAAAAATCAGTTACTTCTGACTACACATGCCATATTGTACAAAATATTTCCAAATAATATATGTATAATTATAATAATATAAGGTTAAATAACATAAAAAAATGGTTATACATTTATGATTCAAAGTATTGTCCATCGCTGGCGACTACTTTTTCCCATCTTTCGGGCAGCATACGAATCCCGCGTCGAAAAAACTGGTCATCTTTTGAGGCGATCCATGAATCGATCCAATTTTTTACTTCTTCATAAGACCGGAAGTGCTGGTCAGCCAGGTCGTGTGCCATTGATCGAAACAAGTGATAGTCAGAGGGAGCAACGTCTGGAGAATACGGCGGGTGGGGTAGGACTTCCCATTTCAACGTTTCCAAGTATGTCTTGACCACTTTCGCAACATGGGGTCGAGCATTGTCATGCTGCAAAATCACTTTATCGTGTCTCTCGTTGTATTGCGGCCGTTTGTCTTTCAATGCTCGGCTCAAACGCATCAATTGCGTTCGATATTGATCGCCTGTGATTGTTTCAGTCGGTTTTAACAGCTCATAATATACTACGCCGAGCTGGTCCCACCAAATACAGAGCATGATCTTGGAGCCGTGAATATTCGATTTGGCCGTCGACGTGGAAGCATGGCCGGGAACTCCCCATGATTTTCTGCGCTTGGGATTATCGTAATGAACCCATTTTTCGTCCCCAGTCACAATGCGATGCAGAAAGCCCTTCCGTCTTTGCCTTTCAAGCAGCTGTTCACAAGCAAACAAATGTCGTTCAACATCTCTCGGCTTCAACTCGTACGGCACTTCGACGTGAAAATCACCGTTCTTGAAACCACTTATGACACGTTCTTTCACTAATAGCGACTTCACCATAAATATTTGAAAGCATTCGATGAGCCTCAGTCGCAGATTTCTTCATATTGAAGCAGAAAATTAAAACCTCCCGCAAATGACAAGAATTTGGCTCGTAAACTGATATTTTCAATCGAGAATAACTTTATGATGCAGACACAAATCGACTAATGATTCTAATAGGATTATGTTGACAGATGCTCAAGTTTATTGTGTGACGTCTATGATCTATTTATTTCGATCATCACTTACCCCTAAAGCCATCTATACGAAAACCGAATGAGCAGAGTCATACACCTAATATATATATAAATATAATAATTGTTTGAGATCGGTAATTCGAACAGAAAAGCAAGAATTCTTTCAGTCGACCGACAGTAATTGTCATTGAACGCATGCATAAATTGAGCTCGTGATTTCATCTCGAGCATGGTCTAAATCCTCGATAAAAATCAGCGATTTCTTTGAGTTCTTTGTTTGAGTTCTTTGTTCTTTTTAAAAACAAGTCGTTACACGCAAACAAGTTGTCGTTACCGGCAACGGACAATCGAAAGTTCTAGAACGATTCAATTCGCGCACGCGAGCGCCGCGCTCCGACGAATACGTCTCGCGCTGTCATGAATCCCACGCACGGATTTTCTGTCGCGCATGACTGTTACGTTGAACGTCGTTAGAAAAGAATCCAAAGCGCCAATCAATTTTGTACACCTAATGCCACGTAATAATTACGATTGTGGCAAAATTTTATTGGATTTTTCCCAAAAAAGAAAGCACTACGCCGTCGTCGCCAGGATGTAGCTGCGTGATCCGGGCCCGAGGCCACTTATTTGGTGGTGAGAGCTCGGAGCGAATGATGCATAGTGATCCAAGGCATGGTGGCAAAGCGTCCTTGGTCCATTTCGGTCTGGTAGCTAGAGTGTGTAAGTACTCGCGTGATCATCTCTGCCAGAAATGGTCTCGCATTCGCTGAATAAGTTGCCACCTGGAAAGCAAATTCTCCTTCTCGTCCAACAAGGACGGCTCAGGAATGGCCAGCAGTGGTGCCCCGATGAGCAGGTGACCTGGTGTCAGAGCCGTGAGGTCGTCGGAGTCGTCTGAGAGGGCATGCATGGGCCGGGAGTTCAGGCATGCCTCCACTTGTGCGAGCAGGGTGCTCTTTTCCTCGAAGGTGAGCCTGGTTTCGCCGATGGTTCGGCGCAGGTGATACTTAGCCGATTTCACGGCCGCCTCCCAGAGTCCACCAAAATGAGGTGCCGAAGGGGGATTGAAATGCCAATGGATCCCCTCCGATGTAGCTACGTGTGCGATCTTTCGTCCTTCTGCCGAGGAGGCTCGAAGCATCTCTCGAAGTTGCCGGTCAGCGCCCAAAAAATTGGTGCCGCAATCAGAGTAGATGTCCGTGCACAGTCCTCGGCGAGATGTGAATCGACGGAGAGCAGCCAGGAAAGCGTCGGTGGTGTAAGCTGAAACAGCCTCGAGATGAACGGCCTTGGAGCTAAAACAAATAAATACGGCGATGAACGCTTTGTGAGCGCCGTGCCCACGCCCTTTGCTCGTCCTGATGAAAATAGGC